TCAAGACAAAATATGATAGAAGAGAGAGAGAAAAGAAACAAAGAACAAATAAAAGATGCATAGCGTAGCCTCATTAGCAGAACGCACTAAATATATTAGCTTTTCCATTACATCTCATGAGCGGAGGAAAATGCAAACAAAAAGATAATTTAGCCAGGGCAATTATCTGGAATACTTGCTGTCGTATTTCGAAACAGTTCTGATGCTAATGAAGATCTCAACATCCAATGCCTCATTAGAAGAACAAACACTCTGTACCTAATTCATATATAAAATGCACATTACCTAATTATCTATTTGGTCATTGGCTTATGTTGTGCAAGTAAAAGATACATTAACTCATATGCCTACATACTTACTACACAACACACCGCAAAACGTAAACATGTAAATATAAACACGCATAAAAGAATTTATATATAAAATATATATATACAATTTTTCTTATTCTGTAGCAGAAACCTACATGTCCTACATAAAATATACAATTTATGCATGTAGGCGAGTGTAGCGTGAGGTGAATTTTGGGTGAGGAGAGAATGAGGCGACATGAGGAGGGACTGAGGCGGTGTGAGGAGAGAATGGGGCGATGTGAGGAGAGACTGAGGTGATATGAGGAGAGAATGAGGCGATGTGAGGGGACACTGAGGTAGTATCTGGGGAGATGGGAGTGAGGGGGAGACTGAGGTGGCATGAGGAGAGAAAGGGATGAGGAGGAACAGAGGCGGCATGAGGGGAGCGAAAGACGAGGGGAGACGAAGAGATTGACCGGGTGTTAGGGTAGTGAGGGGAAACCGAGGGGGGGGGGGGAGAAGTATGCAAGATGACGTGAAAATTGAAGAAATTCAGGAGATGCAGAGAACGGAAAAGGGAGAAATTGGAAGTGAAATGAGATTACGAACGAAGAAATACAAGAGAGAAATATCAAATGGGAGACAGAGGAATAAAACGAAAAGAATGGCAGACAAGAAAAAATGAAGAAAATAGAAACAAAGAATAATGAAGAATAAAAAAACTCAGAGGAACAGAAAGTAAGACAGAAAAATAAAACAACAAAAGAAGAAAACAATAGTAAGAAAAAAGTCGAAGGAAGGAAGTGGGATAGATACCAAGGAGAAAGGAGGAGAAGAGAGGAGAAGAGGATAAAGGGAGAGAAGAGGAAGATAAAAGCGAAAGAGAAGGTGTGAGGGAGAGGGAATTCATTCTAACACAATGAGTGATGGAGAAAGTCGAGTGAAAAGAGAGGGAAAGTTTTCTTCACAAGAGATTTTGGAAAGCGATTAAGTTATTTCGTTTGACCTTTGACCTTTGGCCGCTTGACCTTCTACCTTTCCATGTAGGGTCTATTTATTAATTTCTATTTACCTATCATTATCCATTTTCTTTTTGTTGGGTGGGGAAGAGGAGTAATTTCAGTATTAAGAAGAAATAGACTTTTAACTGTTTGCATTCCCATGGTCATAAGATTTCGAGTTGAAAAGTAATGCGTATTTTTTATATGAAGGTATAGCATTCATTATAAATGTTATCATCAAATAATACAGTTATTGTTTTTTTTATTCACCATCGCCATCATCATCATCTTTGTCTTTATTTTTATCTCCATCTTCATCTTCATCTCTATCTCCATCCTCATCTTCATTATCATCTTTACATCATCATCACATCATCATCATCATCATCATCATCATCATCATCACCATCACCACCATCATCATCATCCTCATCATCCTCATCATCACATCACCACCATCCTCATCCTCATCACATCATCACAATTAGCAGTATTTGCAAGATTTTTTTCTCCAAAATCACACTGGTTCAGTCCATTCCTCCAAGTCATCTTAAGTCATTTGTCTCACGTGCTTTTGAGGCCTTCAAGCATAGTTGCTGAATCATGTTCTCTAATGAAACATTTTCCTTGCTTTGCCTCTCTCCCTGAGTCTGAATTTGCGTTTATTTTTCTGCTTCTGTCTCTGTCTCTTTCTCTTTCTCTGTCTCTGTTTCTTTCTCTCTTTTCTCTGTCTGTTTCTG